CGAGATCGACGCAGCGGGGCGGGACGATCTCGTGCCCTCCATCGTCACCGCCAAGCATCTCGACTTTTTCAAAGCGGAGCCGATCACCAAGTTCAAGCCAGGTGTCTTTGACGATGGCATGCTCCAGCGGATGGACTCCTCGTTCCTCAAAGCCTTTCTTAACCCAGGAGACGCTTAGCCTGCAATAACAAAAGTCTGACTGATGCTTAAGCTACTTGGAACACTGTAAGGAAGAGGATGCAACCGTGTGGGCACGGTACTCTTCCGCCCAGTTCGACCAAGGAGCCGGCAGACAAGCGTGCAATAACCCTTACAACGTGGACGTGGAGAAGGAGATGTTCGACAAGACGCAGTCCACCCGTACCTGGGAAGTTCCACATCAAGCTTTTCTCGACATCGTCGCACCCTCGTTCGCAGGCATTGACGCAGCCGAGGACATGGCGGCCATCCTTGCCCGCACGCACATCATTGTCATCGCGGATCACGGTGTGTGTTGGCGAGTTGCCAGCACTGGCAACGAGAACGTGCGCTTCACGAGTGGCACCCGCAGCTTCCTCATGATATCCTTGCACCTGATCAAGTTGAGATCTTCAAAGCCTACAAGAAAGACCCCTTCAATCACTCCCTGCCGCAGCACTTCCATGAGGATTCGGTATGCTCTCAGGCAGTGCTCAACAAGTTGATGAATGGTGAGACCCTGCCGCCCACGATCACCATCCTCACCCCTGTCAGCCTGTTTGGACAACGAGGCCGCCCCCCCGTCCAGCAAACCCCTATGTTGATGCCTCCAAGAGAGGCAGCAGCCAAGGCAAGATCGAGAAGACACGGGACGTGTGCAGAGCTTTGAAAAGAAGTGGTCCTATTCAAATTGACTTGGACTCCCCTTCTCCAGCAAGGAAAAAGCCAACTGTTGCAGAAGCAACCTCCCTTGCCAGTGGACCTGCAGCCGACACGCTGCCAAACCCGGCGCGCATTGGCCAGCATGAGGAGTGCGGTGAGGATGGCGGTCACAACGCTGAGAATGTGCAAGATGTGAGCTTGGAGTCTGAATTGCCAGCGATTCCGGAGTCTGATGATGACATCATGCCGTCAGTGGGACAAGTCCCTAGTGATGAGTTTGAAGAAGAATGGCGAGGGTTATAGATGAGACGGTCGCGAACGAGAGCATGGACGTAGAGGGAGGACACCATGGACACCATGAGCATGTGAATACTTGCGGTATCTCGGCGCTGCGTTTCTTTGGTTTCCCAGTGGAGCCTATGATCAACGGACCCTTCAGCGTGGCCTACTTGAACGAATTGATTCTTCCATTCGGAGTCAAGCTCATGTTGGACACTTCAGGTTTGCTTGGACGAGATGGGAAGTACTTGTGCCATAGGAACAATCACTTCACAGGCATCGATGTCAGGGAGGGCCACATCACTCAGTGCGACAACGGCAACCTCAAGAACCTCACCTGGTGCAACCTAGCGGATGTCGCGAAGTCCTGCGCAGTCTATCGCTTGGCCGTGTGTTCCAAAGATGTGTGCGCAGCCGGCTGTCTCACTGACTTGTCCGGTGGCACGTCCGGGGTGCTCAAGAGGCCGTCCGCGAGTGGCACACAGGTGAACGTCGAGAAGCCCGAGTACTCGTGCCCTCTCGAACAGTGTGTGTGTGAACTCTCAATGTGGTGGCAGCCTTGCTCTTCGGTACTCGGTGGAAGCGACATGCTATGACCTCTCAGGGCCCACTACAGTCATCCACTGTCGTGCAAGTTACGGACACAACTATGTGTGGCAGGATGGCGAGAAGGTCAGTGGAATTGGAAGCAAGGATATCAAAGACACGGTCCTCTTTGTGAATTCAAAAAAATGCTTCACCATGAAGTACTTGAAGTACCATGCGGAGCTGCTTGTCAGAGGCCAGGTGTCGACTAGGGCAGTGGAACGCGTACAAGACAACCTTCTCTGATCAAGAGCCAGATGACATTGTGGTGGACTTCCACAAGTTGCACCAGAGTGCTATCTTCTACCATCTTGCGATCCAGGAGTTCGAGCCCTTGGGCATGCGTACCGGCATCGTGATCGATGATGAGGTCCCCACAGTGAAGCTGGACTTGTACAACGCCTTCTGTTACTGTTCTCTTTTTCCTCTACGAGATCGTTCTTCTGTGACGGGCTTGGTGGGCGATGGCTTGGTGAAGCTGAAGCCGCAATGCGAGGTCTCTCCGATGAAGACGACTGGTCGACAGAGGAAAGATCCATCCAAGGCGTTGAAGGAATACAAGCACTCCAACGGGTGGTTCCTATGCTGTGATCCACAGAGTGGTCGAATCCTCTCCGTCAACCTGATGCGTGAGCCAGAGAACAATATGGTCGTCTGCGAGGCTCTCCTCACGGTCGCGTACCTCTACCCCAACTTGAAGCGCTTTGTGTGCGACAGGCGTGCTCCTTCATGAAGACCGGCAAGGGTGAACCTGGCCTGTCTATGACCAAGCACTACGTGGTGGACTCCTTCCACGCGCATGGTCACAGCAACGAGTGCCCTTGTAACCCACGCGTCAAGCGCTCCTTGAAAGCGAAGATTGCCGACAACACAAGCGTCGGTGAGCAGGTCTTTGCCTGGTTCAGGCGCTACACGCCCATCATGAACGAGATGAGGGAGAACCGGCACAAGTTCATGCTCTTGTGCCTCTGCCGTCGCCGTAACATGGCAGTCGCCAGTAAACAGACTGCTTACTTGAGGCCACTTCCAATGCCCAAGCAGACCAAGAAGCTCAGCAAAACCTACCAGTGCAGCAAGAAGCCCGCGGCAAAGAAGCAAAAGAGCAAACCGACCAAGAAGACAACGTCGAGCAAGAAGATTGTGCAGCGCAAGAACAAGCCAGTGAAGAAGCATGCCATGAAGTCTTGCCAGCCTATGAAGTAGAGTAGTCACTCCTTTCTACGCACTTATGGTGGTCAAATGGTTCAGAAAACTACACTGTTGCATACACAAGTTGTCAGTGTTCCACTTATTTTGAACAAACACCATGTTGCGCATCACGTGCGAGATACCACTTGGAGCTATAGGGCTAGGTCAGCAAAGAAGTCGGCAGCAGGAATGTCGGACTGGGAAATCTTTGCCTTGGCATGTGCACTGCCCAATGAGCATCACAATATACAGCCATGTTGCGTTGTGTTCTGTTCCAGCAAGCCGACTGCCGCGCCTCTGATTTCAATTGCGCAGACTGGACTCGTGACATGAGAAATCGATTGCGCTGCTCACAAGAGAAGTGTAACTGAATAAACCACGCACCACAGCAAAAGCCAACAAAACTCGAGGAAAACAAGAAAACAAAAAAACTCGAGAAAACCAAAAAACATGTTTCCAGAACTCTTCCAACATGGTGTTCCAAGGAGTTTCTAAACCATGTTTTTGTTTTTTTTGTTTTTTGGTTTTCTCGAGTTTTTTGGTTTTCCTCGAGTTTTTTGGTTTTTCATGTTTGCTCAAGATGTTTCACCCCTTTTGACCACCAAAAAAGTGCGCGGCCAAATCTGAATTTCTGCCACTCCTTTTGGCCACCAAAAAAAGGCGCGGCCAAATCTGCCACCCTTTTCCGCAAAAACCCTGGTAATGCGCTTGTTTGTGATTTTTGAGGCGTGCGCTCTTCTTCTGGGTCAGCCATGTCACTTGCACTTGATCTAACACACGCAGAGGGCAGAAATTGGCGGCAAGTGGCAGAAGGTGGCAGATTTGGCCGCACCCCTTTTTGGTGGTCAAAAGGGGTGGCAGAAATTGGCGGCAAGTGGCAGAAACCCCCTTTTTTGGTGGTCAAAAGGGGTGGCAGAAATTGGCGGCAAGTGGCAGAAAGGGGTGGCAGATTTGGTGGTCAAAAGGGGTGGCAGAAATTGGCGGCAAGTGGCAGAAAGGGGTGGCAGATTTGGCCGCCCCTTGGGGGTGCCGCCAAAATCTGCCACCCCTTTCTGCCACCTCTTTTGACCACGAAATTGGCCCTCAGGATGGCTTGAAACATGCTATGTCCATAATGGCCATTTCCTAACCATAAGCATTACGGGAAGGCCGTGATTTGTTTAGCTGATGGTTCCACAACAAACAAATCAAATCATAGTGTTCGTCGGCTTGTTTTTTGCCCTCTGATTTTGCAACGCTCCTTCCCAGTGGGGGAATCGACTGTGAGTCACTTATATACAAGAATTGCCAATGAATCCTGGCTTTGCGGTAAAACTGGAGTTTGATGCGCGCTTGGCAGGCGTGGGGGGTTAGCCACTTGCTGTGACTGTTGCCGCGTTTTAACGGCCAAATCGTGCGGGGCCACGGACAACGACTTAGCCTTGTTTAAGGCTGCCCCTCTGCCTCCCCTGCTTGCACAACCTCACATTACAAAGCTTGTGCCACCACTTCACTAATGCTGGTGTCGGAACAAACACCGCTAGCCAGAAACTGCAAATGTCTTATTGCATCGTGTTGTGCTCAAAAAAGGCTTCACGAGCTCACAATTACTGGCACTCACCCTGCGGAGCAACAAAAACAATGTCGAAGCAATGGGGCCCACGCAAGCGACCCTCCAAATCCGCTTTTGCCTGGACATTGTAGGCCTTGAGAAGGGGAGGGGCGTTGATAAACCAGGGCAGTCATTGATCACTGTAAACATCGGAGGCTTGGGATTCGGGTGCCTGGAAATGCCAACTTAACGCGGGTTCCTGACGCCCATTTCGGGCATGTGCCTGGGCCAGCTCGCGAGGCCCAAGCGTGAGGTTGCCAGCAACAAAATGAGCCAAACGTGTAGCAGGCTTGAGGACTACCATATCCCGAGACAGAAGTGTAAACACCGCAGTCGTGTTGTTTGCCGAACAACCGACAACCTGGAAGTGGGCGCCCAGTGCAGCACAAAAACTTAGGTGACATACCAACGCGTTTGGATTAACAAAACATGACGCTTGGTAAACAACCAGCAGCGGAGTGTCAGAGACGGCGAGAAAACCAATAACAGGGCAACCAAACAGCACCCCGGCTCAAGCCTTCAGGCACCTGCGCCCACTGCTGCAAAGGGCTAGGTGGCGGGTGGCCATCCTGAGCAACAGGGCAAAGCTCCCACAAGACTCCTGAGCAACAATACCATATGGGATAATCAACATGTGACGCAGCCTCTTGGACAGGCTTTTGTGATTTTGCGCGCGCGGATTTAGAGAGTCTCCTTGATGCCCGCCAAACACAAAGCAAAGCCGTAGCTTGGCGGACCCTTGCAGCCACAGTTTGTTGCCATCTCTGCGGAACGCCAGCGCTGGCCGCCCTTGCATCTAAAACGCATTTTGCGACAGAGCTGGTGAACTGATCTGGCTATCTAGTTGGCAAGTTCATTTGCGGGTATTGTCGCCCATCATTTTCGTTCACCGCAGGCCGGAGTAGAGTGGAGTCAAGCCTAAGCTAGTTTGCTAGTGTGTTCGGCCAGCTAGTGACCTGGGCTCCGCTTTCTGGGTAAGATAGATTCAATTGGTACCTGTAAACCAACCTCACATGTTAAGCAGTTGACCCAGCAGCTACGCATCTTTTGAGCCAACGTGAAGCGTTTGCGACGGATGCAAACCACAAATCTTTAGCTTCGACACCCCCCTGTTGAAAAGCAGCCTCGCAATTAGACGCAAAGGGGAATGGAGGGGTCCAAGCAATATGGAAAAGGTGTTGCTGTTATTGCTGTCTTTGAGAGCCAAGTAGCGCGCCAACTTTACACCGCGTAGGGATCGATCGACCTTGCGGGCGTCGTGAACGCGTGGACTGCGCCCGCATGAAATATCCGTGAAGCCATTCGTTCCACTCCAGCTGTCTTGCTTCCATCCCCCGTGGGACGCCCTACCCGGCGCGTGGGCTGATTGATGTTGTCATCTCTGTACGCCATGTGGTAGCGATCCAGCAAATCACTAGTATCTACTCAGGGGTCTGCGTCCACGAAAAGAAGGAGTACTGCAAACCTGGCGCGTAGAGGCATCATCCCAGATCAGTTCTCAGGCAAAACGCGGACGAAGCCTTGCTTGCCTGCGCCTTCTCAAGATGATTCCCTCATAGCCACCCTGAATTAAAGGGCTAGAGCCGAGCTCTACAAAAAGCACTGTAACTGAGTGAACTTCTGTTTCTAACCCTCTTGAGGAAGTTTGCTACCTTTCAAATCTTGTAGCACGCCTCAAAGATCCTACCGAACCTTGTCACCACGCTCCTTGGCTTCTGTGATGATCCTATTCTTTGCCTTTGCTTTCTCCCAGGCCCCTTTTCCGGAAATTTCCCCTTCCTTGCCAAGGGCATTCCGGAGCGCAGCCTGTGCTTCTTCGGCTTTTGGCAGCGACTGCGCTGAACAATTCAAGAGCTGCGTCCAACTCAATGCGTCTAGTTCTCTGCCTCATCAGCTCACGCAACGCCTTGGGCCTCCGTCACTCCTTCAGCTTGTCGCGTTCGGGAAAAACGGGACTGGCAGGCGCCACGTTGCCGGTCGCATGAGCTGGCTTGCTGGACGCAGCGTCTGGGTCGGTGGACATTGCTTCGGACACAAGTGCGGACTCAACAGCTGCCCTAATTACTAATTCTCTGCCCCAGCGCGCAATCTTTCCTCATTCAATGCTTCAAAGCGTCACCCACAAATCGGAAAGAATGCCGGGTGGGCTTTTGGAGTCTGACAACGATGTCCGTCAGTGGATCTTTCGCCTCGCTTGTGAACGGCGCCGCGCTCGGCGCTCGGCTAGCGCGGGGTCGATCCTGGCCGATGCGCCGGCAAGCAGGGAATGGCCGTCGGGCCCCTAAGCAGCTTCACACGCTTCGGGTCGCTGCACCACAAGGGACGCGTGCTTGATGGATGGGATAATCCAGCGCTTCAAGCTTTGCAGGTCTCGCCTACAGAATTGTCAGCTCTTGCGCGACTATTCCACAACAGGACCCTAGGCTCCGCATGGAATCTCGATCTCGTCAAACGTCTTGTTGAAACGGAGAAGCCGCGGCAAGTCACTCCCAACAGCAGCAAGTTGTTTCTTGCCGTCGCATGGCCCGGGGTAGCGTGGGGGCCACATTGACAAGGGTGACGGTATCCTATTGAACGAGATTGGCTCGCGCTTTCTCGGGGAGATGTCGAATTTCACACTCGGCCAACGACTTGGGCAAATCTACATAATAATGGCTGTCTGACCACGGTACCTGGTTCTTCGATGGTAGATTTCAATTCGCGGGCGTTGACCATATAGATAACCTCATCACGGGCTGCAATGAGACGCTGCAGCCCCGCAACGGGCTGCTCCGTGCGTTTGACTCGTTGAGGAGCATCCTTGACAACAAGCACGCGCCGGTATGGGCGCGCGTGGTTGCGGTCTGGCGGGGCGCCCCGGCTTCGGACCGGATTGCATTATTCCCGCAGCTGGGTTGAACTACTACAAGAAAATGTGTAGACTTCTAAAGCTAACATACTGTTTTTTCGACCGACGCAAACTACAAAAGTGCCCCTTTAGTTTCAACCGATTTCAAGACTAGCTCAGTCGACCGTCACTATTGTTGGTCGTCAGCTGGTTAGTGCCAGTTGCATAGCGCGGTAGCTAGCCAATTAGTCAGCGTGTCAGTTGTGGAAAACTGGCTTGTAGGACGCAAGTCTTCGCGCTCTCTTGCCAAGATACCCAGCCAAGAGGGTTGCGCGCCAGGATCGGATAGTCCAGACCTGGGGTTCCAGCTCAAATTTATCCGGCCTGCGCTCGGGGCTTGGCTGGGGCCCACGCCATTTGAGAGCAATCCGCCTGTGAAAGCCGGCAAGACAACCAACGGAAACGCATCCATGTTTGGGTGTCATGTCAGTTTTCCTTTAGACATGCTTGGCACCACCGCTGAAGTTTGTGCGGAACTAAAGTGCGCAGAAAAAAATCAAATTCAGATGGGTTACGCAACTTCGAGCCAAGCTGCTGGTCATCCCCGACACTGGCAAGGAAGACCCAGGAAAGGGGTTCTCGGTCAGCGCCTCAGAATGGCTGAACAACGTGGCTCTTCAAAACCTATTAAAGCGACGTCAGCCAAAGTGTGAGTGTGTGTACTTAGTAGTGGAAGGCCACGCCTAGCAATATATTGCTTCAAAAGTCCAGCCCCCACCCTAGGTTTTTTTCACGTTTTCAATGCACAAACAACTTCACCCCCCTCGGGCAGAACCTATTTTTCTACTAAATCAAAGCAGGCACCGCAATATGTTCTTTTCATCTCCCAAAATCAAAAGAACATACCAACACGATTTTTCTACATCATTTTTTCATTTGTCTATGCATAAATGATTTTAGATGATTTTTATATAAGTCTTCTCTAATGTTTTTTACATATGGCACCCTCAATCGCTTTTACAGGGTGTAATTCTTCCTCTCGTGCCTTAATTAAGATTTCGTAAGTGCTTCAGCGTTTCTTCGTGTTTTGCTTTCCTCGCACTTTTTATCATGCATTTACACACTTCGCATTCTGTTTCTTTTTTGCTTGCCTCTCGTTTTTGAGCTAAACATTTGTCGCATGATATTTTCCCCTCTTTGAATTCACTTATTATCATATTTTCCTACATCTCGGGCATCTTTTCAGTTCGCTTTCCATTGCCGTATAATGCCCTTTTTTCTTTACATATGTTAGGGCAGAAAATACTTATTTATGAAAAACGTCCCCTCCTTCGTTTCATCACTTTTATCATATATTTTAATAGGCGTGGTCCTCCTTGTAGGATTTTATCTTCAATATATATATATAACGCTATACTTACATTATAATTATAACATATAAGGGTATAAATGTTATTATAGTATGGTTATGAAATTAATAATAGCTACCAACACTTTCATTATCGCTAACTTCTTCTTCGCTTTTGTAGAAGTCTTCAGTGCCTAATATATGATAACACCGGGTATGCCATTCTGCTTCTGTTCTAAATTGCATCATTGATAAAAGTGCTCTCATAGCGTGATAATATTGACTTGTCAGTATTTGTCTATCATTAATGTTCATATCATCAATATTATTAATAAACCATAGATGCTTAAACTTATATTCAATATTAAATATGCAAGAATAATCGTAAAATGTTTTTAATTCTAAGTATATTTCATATTCAGGTTTTTTACCATCTAAATATTCAGTCAAAGACATTATCCAGAATGGATTTCTTTTTACCTTTTCCCAAGTTGGAAAAGGGTGTTTAATGATATCGTTATACCTGTAAGGACATATATCCTAACAGTTATACGACATAATATTCAATCTAATTTCTAATGGTAAATTGTTAAGTTCCATTTCTATTATAATATATATAGTGTTTATTTCTTTAAATACCTTTTTACAAGAAATAAGAATAAATATTGAAATATAATTATAACAAATAATATACTACATGTTATTATTATACTACGATTATAATTTCAGTTCAGGATAACTATTTAATTGATATATCTTACCTCTTTCATACATCATTTAAAAAATATTAATATCTATCACCATATTTTTAACATTAAACTTTTCACTTTCAATATATGATTGAATGACTTTTTACATCAAACCCTTCCTTTTTATAATAAATCAATGCCCATAATATGTAGCTAATAATTTCATACTTTTCTTACTGATTTCAGGAAATGCTGTAACATAATCCTAAGGTGGTATTTCATACACAGTTAAAAATATCAAAATGTCATCTTCAACATTTCTTTCATTAAACCTTTTAATGTTCAAATTATATTCGATTGCTTCTTGGAAATATCTCCATTCCTGACAAATTTTACATTCATCTTCTTTACCCAAAGAATAATCAATAATATTATTAATTATTTCATTAGGAAAATTCGTTTTGTATAACTCCATATTTTCTTTTTTGAAGTGGCAACAGTCGTGGCATTTCTTATTGATATAACTGTTGATTTCGGTTTCCACCATTTCTATTATAATATATATAGTTGTAATTTATTTAAATATGATTTACAAGAAATAGAATGAAAATATTGAAATATAATTATAACATATATTATTTTACATGTTACTATTATAGTATGATTATAGCTTAAATTCAAGATAATAAGTTAATTGATGACTATTAAATTGTGTATATATCTTACCTCTTTCATACATCATTTTCATACTAATATTAACAGCTCTCACGGTATTTTTCACATTAAATTTTTTTGCTTTCAATATATGATTTAATGTCTTCTTTTACATCGCACCCTTCTCTTCTACGATATAACAATATCCATAAAATGTGGTCAATCAGCTCATTCTTTTTCTTACTGATTTTGAGAAATGCTCTAACATAACTATAAGGTGGTCTTTCATACACAGTTAAAATGTCAAAATTTCATCTTCAACATGTCTATTATTTCTTCTTTTCAGATTTAAATGACATCTGATTAATTCTTGGTTATCTCTCCATTCCTGACAAATTTTACATTCATCTTCTTTACCCAAAGAATAATCAATAATATTATTAACTATTCCATTAGGTAAATTCATTTTGTATAATTCCATATTTTCTTTTTTGAGGCGGCAACAGTCGTGGCATTTCTTATTGATATAACTGTTGATTTCGGCTTCCACCATTTCCATTATAATATATATAGTTTTTATTTCTTTAAATACTTTTTCCAGGAAATAAATTTATACTTTTAAGAACTCATGTCTCAAAAATGCACTGTCATAATTTTCAATATAACAATATTCCTGTCCTAACTTCTTTTCAATCTTTGCTATTTTGTAGGTTTGTTTAGTCCATACTCCTACTCTCTCCTTTTCATTTGGTCTCCTTTTCCTGAATATCTTAACTTCATTTCCTACATTTAAATCTGGATAAACTCTATTTCTTTTGGCTTTCATACCTAAGTTTAAACTCACTTCTAATTGATGTTTAGGCTTTCTTGCTTCTGACGGTGTTAAGCCGTGCGAAGTGTGCTTTATTCCATTGTTATAAGTTAATATAATCTCGTGTGTGTAGTCTGTCCATTGAATAGCCTTTCCTTTTTTCTCATCGTTTTCAACCCTCTTATACAAGCTATCTTTAAACGTCCTTATCGCCCTCTCCGCGAATGCTGGGTGACCTCTGGTTCTGTGCAGCTCTATTTTTCACCCTTCAAAAAATCTACAACACTTTGATTATTATAAGCTCCTTCATCGTCAATATAAATTAGTTTGGGCTTTCCATCCACTTTTTTAATACATTCCATCAGTCCTGCTAAAATGTCCGCAGGCTGTTTTGACATAAGCGGGACAACAACCATATACTTAGAAAATATGTCAATACACATCATACCAACTTCCCATTAATGGAAAATAAATCAAATTGAAACTCATAATATGCGTTAGGAGCTACAAATGAATTCTGCCCTCTCGGTTTTAGCTTTCTGTTCTACATTCTTCCTAAAAAACTCATTAATATCGTTTATAGTTATTGTGTTCTCCTTTTTCCTTGCTTCTTGTAAAGTGCGGTTCTTTGGCCCGAATCCTCCCTTATCATCATAAACAGTATTAATAATATCTTGCTTAGATGCCAAATAGAACAAGATAGATATTATTTTTTCCGGCGATTACAGTTTAAACAATAAGATATACAGTTTTCTTTATGATGGGCATAATCGTTGTTTATTCTTTGGGCTGTCATATTACTATTTATTACTCCATTACTTATTTCTATGTCAAATGAACTGCATTTATTACATCTGGTATTAAGCCTGTCAAATAACCATTTGACATCAATATATTTTTTGTTGTCAATTTCTCTCTCTGCTTTCATGTCTTGTAATTTATACTGTTTAATCTTATGTTCTAAATATCTGGTTACTTGTGCTTCATTTAAATCAGTATCATCTATGTCTGCTTTGAAAAACGTGACTTTATTGATATCTCTGCACCTTGTAATCGCTGTCCAAATCCACTCACGGCTGACCAAATGTGATTTATCACATTCGTGTATAGTAATGCTTTTATCTACAGAAGCCCCTTGACACGAATGACATGTAGCACAATACGCATGTATAAAGTGCTTGTCTAAAGTCGCGGTGTTTGTCATGAATATAGTTTTACTTTTGATAATTTGGATTTCTACTTTCCAATCATCAATACTAATAATTTCATAAGTAATACTTACATTAAACACCTGCCCCATTTCCTTTTTATAAACTCTGCGTATCACATGCTCTCCAATTTCATATTTATCTGTCTTTCCTAAATTATTTCTTACGGTTTTGCTCACCCATGTGCACCTAGCATTAGTATAGGCTATGTTATGCTCTCCTTCCATGATGTCGCTTGTAGTTTCAAAATGTTTATTTACTATTTCCTTAAAGTGCAGTTTACTTTCCCAAATGTCATTATATATATCATTCAAATTAATTTTATCTTATTCTGTCTTAAGTCTCTTAGATATCTTAAGGTAAATCTTATATGTAAATATTTGATTAAGACAGTTGTTTAAATATGTCTCGTGGTCTTGGGTGTTAGTTAAATCAGCTATAGGTTTCAACTGCTTCCCGTCAGCAGTTCCTATAATTATCTTCTCTGGGTGCGTATCCTTAAACTCCCTAACTCTGTTCAAAGTATAGTTACCCGCCATACCTAGCTCATCAAACACAATACAACTATAATCAGAATGGTCAAATGTCGGTAGTCTTTCTCCAGCTTCTATTGGGACGCTAAAAAATTTGTTATGTTATGGCGTCGGCTTCGGTTTCTTGCTTCTGCTTGTTCTTAGGACATACGAATAACACATTATAAAATAGATTTTTTATATATTCGCCTATATAACTCTTGCCGCTTCCAGCCAGTCTTGCTTTTATCAACACCGGATTACACGCCACAATTTGCTCACAAATGCTTTTGGTGTCGTATTCGTCTTTAACACGAATTTTTACATTATTGTAAGTCGGAATTTCTGATAACTCATTAACCTTAATTTTGTGTATATCGCTTGGTGGTGATACTTGTTTATTATCTTCAGCTCTCCATCCTCCCCTT